TATATATTGCCGAAAAATTACAATTTTTTTCTCTGCAGTTATTATCTCTGTTGATAATCGAACTTTGACGGTAACACTGAAATCACAATTTTAAAGAAAAATCGAGTATTATTGAGTTTTAAATGCACGTACACCGATAAACGCGTCTACTAAACTAATAAATCATAAAATTAGTACAATATTATCAGTTTTTTACTCTTAATCACTTCAATATTAACAAAGACGCGAACTCCCATAAGGATGTCGGTCTTTAATAATATTTCGTCGGTGACCAGACTCAACACGGCTATTTACACTGGTTTACATATAAGATGCCATATTGACTTTTTGGCTACGAAGTTCCATTCTGCGATCCCTGTATAGTAGGTGGCGCTACCAACGCTGATATACGTTTTGAATGTCAGATCCTGGCTATTCCTCAAATGAATGAAATGACTGTAATTGGTCAGTTTTATAACTATAAATATTATTAAACCAGTTACGCATAATGTAAAAAACCCTAGAATTTATCAAATGTCCCTGCTCATGAGCAGGTGCAATCGGTGTTCGCACTTCGCACACCAACACAACAACGATGTCGAGAGTGTCGAGACGAGCTGACCGGAGTGACAGGCAGTGAACACTTGAACAGCATGGAGGAATCGGTGGAATCTTTCCACTATGAGTGAACAGGCACCAACAGGCACGCATAGGCACACAGTGCAGGCACTGGCAAGTGACAGGTTAACTTGTGAGCCGCGAAAGAGAGTGCGAAAAACATGAGCAGATCGCAGGTACAATACGTTAGCATTTTTTGTGTCTATACGTTAACATCTTTTCCTCGCGAGACTGTGATCTTGCATGTAATATGGGATTCATCAATTTTATCGTTTTTTTTACAATTAAAAAGCCGTGTATTTAAGAAGAAAAATATTGCCACGTTATTAAATTGCTACACGAAGAGATAACAGGAGAGATGTCGTACAGTCAATTCACGAGAATATATAAAGCTGCATTATTACGAAAAAGGAAAAGAAAATGTAATGTATCGCTTCCTCTGAATTTATTGCGCAGGAAAAATCTGTCGAAGAGGATGAAATTAATCTCTTCAATCCCACTATACTGGATAGATTGCCAGTATCGCACGTCGCTGAGTTACTTATAAGACCGCTAAAGAGTACGGATTATGATAAAGGTAATTGGATGTCATATCCAGTAAACGAGAATATAGATTGAAATGAATTCAGATTTTCAGAAATACGCATTCGCGAACGTTAAAATAAATCCTTTTCAATCTGAATACATTTTTATTCTTTTAGAAGAATTACATGAAGCACATTTCTATACCTTTCAATCTAAAAATAATAACAGCTTTTTCTGTGCATTGTGAATACTGTTCAATTCAAAATTCTGAATAGAAAATACAGTTTTTCAATTCATTTCAATAAAAAAAATTTTTTTATTCAGTTGGATTCAATAGACTTAAAATATGCAAAAAATTTCAGTCCATTTAAATTTATTTTCCATTACTGGAAAGAGAGAGAAAATAATTGCTACAATTTTTTTTAATTAGACATGTATCATTTGTCAAACTTTTATATAAATATATTTTTATATTTTATACAACAATATAAGATCCTGCGTACAATGAAGAGATATTAGGAACAGGAATAAATATTAGACAAATAAATAAATGGGAATAGAGATTAAATATATATTACTTGGTACAAATAAGATATAAGGCATTATAATTAATTATATATCATATTTTATTTATATGTTTATTAATATAATCACTACTTCTAATATTCTTATTTGTCTAATATTTAATATTTATTACTATTTCTAATATTTTTTCCATTATACATAGGACCTATTCGATTTTTTCTTGCAAATAATTCAATCATTTATGAAATTTTGTAGGTTTTTTAGTTCTTTTATCACAATTGACAGATGTTGGAAATGTCACTAAGGAACAATTCTTAAGTAAGTTTTTACAATTGGGGATTAGATTCTATAAATAACCAGACTAATTATGCTTTCCTTGTTCTGTATTTAGATAGATTCTATAGTATGAAGACCGCTGGTGGTTACTATGTTGTCGTCATCGAGGATATAAATTCTGGAAAAGTAATAGCATGCGCGTCCTTAGTTGTAGAGCAGAAATTTATTCATAATTGTAGCTTGGTACGTAATTTTGCATATTCTTCAAGAATTAGAAATGGATAATCCTATATGCATATATTTTTTATAGCGAGGACGCCTCGAAGACGTAGTGGTTAACAACAATTACAGAGGGAAATCATTGGGAAAATTAGTAGTTTCGATCGTAGTACAATTAGCCCGTTATTTTCGTTGTTATAAATTATCCTTGGACTGCGTAGATCGTTTGGTGCCATTCTACGAGAATATAGGCTTCAAACGGGAAACTAACAATGCCAATTATCTCAATATGCGCTTCCACGGTGAAAATGCCACTGAACAGTCTCATTTATAGTAACTGGTTAAGTTATTGTGGCTTTATCTATATCGGCAATCAAGTACTTGTTCACAGTACAGCGTACATATGAATTGGAAAACCGAAATATTACAACCTGAGTTATATTAAGTTTAAAAGAAGTATTTGGATGACAAATGTTATTATACTTGTAATTTGTTCTCTGTGAAGAGAATTTTTTTGCTAAAAAAATTTATGAAGAAATGCTTTTTTATGTATACGAAAAAAAATTTTCGTACTAACGTTTACATGAACTAAAATTAATTATTTGATATTCTCTTTTACATATTAACATAAGTATTACATAATAATGTTTGCGCGCAAGCGCGTGCATTTTTTTGTGCAATTTTGAAAAATGGATCCTACATATAAAATACACTGTCGCATTACATTATAGATTGTATAGGTTGTAACAAAATAATTGTTAAATAAAATAATTAACTTTTACTTAATATGTATATGTATATATTTTTTCATGCATATAATGTTAATAAATAATATTGTAGAAAACGTTTTTGGATGAACCTCTTTCTTACATTAGATAAGATTTACAGAAAATACTTTCATCATGTTACTTGTAATATTTAATTTACTTAATGTACAATAGAATGATTAACATACGGCGCGTTTACTTGATTCACTTAAATCTTCTTCGCAGCTGGATTAGCTCGTAATTTCACTGCTCGTTTCGCCTCCATCTGCCTTTGCCTGGCTAATTTGCGCTCTTCTCTCTTCCTTCTGGCTTCTTCGTATTTATTGTTTCCACTAGGAACGCCTACAATAAAAGAAAATTTTCTCAATACTATATAATGAAACGAAATTTGTGTATATGTTCCGAAATCAAGTCAAATATACTTGGTTGCTCTAAGGGCTGAACATCTTCGAGAGACTGAAACTCCGAATCTTCCCATCCAACTTCGGAAGAATCATTTTTGTCTTGAACACCTTGGGTTGTTTCTTCTTCCTGTAATCCGAATGTTTTTTTTTTCTGATAATGATATCAAATTACACGACCATTCGAACAAATTATTCTCGTTATCTATTCATGTTTGTGTATGCATACATATAGTGTTCCAAAATTCGCATGTTGCAGTAATATTGAACTAATCCAGAATAAATTTCTCTTCGACAAAAATTGGTTTGGGCAACATTATTTTTACTGTTATACAATATTTAATATTAAATCTTTAATCATCTAAATTTTATATAATGAAACTATATACATTTTTAGCCTAGCATTTACTCTTTATTTCCTTTAATCGCTTATAATTTAAATAATGTTAATGCATTGAAAAATTTGTATTAAACAAAAAATGGATTCTTAGATTAGTCGAAAAGAATTCTGCTATTATAGACTTATTAAAACTTGTGACTATATACGTTCGTACCACTTGTATTAACATTTCAGGTTTGATAGGATATAAAAAGAATCTTGATTGTAACACAAAAATATCATAAAATGCCAAGTAACAAACCGGTTCTTCCTCAAGGCTGGTCCACTGTTCATTAGCCTTAGGGGAGTGGCCGGACGGTGATAAACTACTGGCTGGATTCAATGGCACCGATGATGTAGCGGTGGATTGCTGCTCCATATCTCCCCAATTATCGGCATCCCAACAATCCCAATCGCAATCGGAATTTGTATTTTGAGTGTTTTGCGTATCGTGCTCGTGATCGGGATCGAGGGAAGTCATGCTTGTTGCGCTGCTCGTCGTGGCAGTAGTGCTAGCGCTACTCTGGGAGCTGCTAGCTTGTTCTAAAATAATTAAATTAAAAGATGTTAATATGTTGATACATAAGGAGATAAATATAATGCTAAACAAGTTATTAAATAGAGTAAAAAAATGCTCATGAGTATGAAAGTAAAGACGATTATTGCTAACCTAAGGAAGCAGGTTTATTTAACAAGATTCTAGATGTACTGTGAGCATTTGATGATTTTGGCGTATCTGACTGACTACGATAGAATTTTGCCGTGACTGCCGTAACGGCCCATCCGGCCCATGTTGCCGCGGCATTGCTGAGACTAGGTGTTGCAGTATTCACATCCGCCTCTGTAAATATTTTAATATCATTAGAGTTTAATATTTTTTTCTTCAAAGTGTTCTCAAAGAATAAAATATGAATTATGAAATCCTAGTGTTATATGCAATGCTCACCCATTGATTCGCGAAGACCAGGATCTTCGGAGACTGTCTCAAGCTTTGATAAAAAACCTCGAATGATACGGAATGCATTGTCTCGTACACCTTTGTCCACATCCGTGGTAAGCGGACATAGAGCCGGTAGAATGCGATTTGCGACTTCTTGCAGAAGGAAATATTGCTGCGTCGCAGCTAGAGCTAGTATACTCGCAATTCTGGCCGGAGGAAAAGAATCGCGAGTTCCACGAATAAACGCGCCAATTAATACCTATATAAAATTATTTTTATTAACTGATTTAATAATAATATTTTATGAACATATTATGAATTTTACTATTTTATTATAAATTATTTTATCGTTTCTTATGAATATCGGTTTAAAATATATATTTAAAATATATATAAAGGGTCTATTCTGATCAATAAGAATCTAAACAAAATGTATGAAAGAAGCAGATGTCTGTTTAAAAATAAAAGAATATTGTGTTAAAATTAAACAAGAAGGATTGACGGTACCTTCTGCCTTATCTGAGGGTGAAGATGTTGAGCAATTTTTCCAAGGCAAACTGTGGTATTTGTGCGAATACCGCCTTGTTCGTCTTTCGACTGAAGTTTCGCAAAGTATCTTAAAGTCTCAACATTAAGATTATTATAATCTAACTTTGGTGCTAAATGTACGACTGATCTTATCGTTTCTTCCCTGATTGCCGGGTTTGTATCAAGGAAACCCCTTGCTACCTGCAAAAAATACATATTTAACATAGATAAAATAATTTTAGTTTTTGTTTAAAATAATACAATATTATATCATACAAGATACTTAAATTTCTCAAATTCAAAATATACTATCTTTATAGATTTTATAATATTAAAGATATAAAATTACAACAGTATTTTTATTATAATGTAATCACAATTGATAAAATATAATATTCAATAAAGCTTTTTTTTTACCTGAGGAAAAATGGCTTCGTTAACGGTAGCTGATTGTAAGTGGTCGACGAATCGGTCTAATTGTTGCAGCAATCGTAATCTCGTCGCTCTGTCATTCGATGCGAATAATTTAACGACACAGGGCACCACTCGACGCTGATACTCGGCGTCTGGTAACTGAGAACCCAATTGCAGCAACGGCGGTAACACGGCACTTCCGGCGTCCCCAAATTCGAAAGCAGCCAGTAATTGCGGCAGAATCTTGTACCTGCCAACGCCGTCAGGAAATGTATCCAATTGTGTCGCCAATTGCGAGAAGAATCGTCCTTTCTCTCCTCTTTCCTTCATCTGGATCTCCTCCAAGAATAAGAGGGCATCAACAAGATTGTTCTTAAAAAAACCGCCATTACTGCGACAACGCGCTATCACATCTGCGGGATTTGGTCTTCCTTCTGGATTAGTTCCCGTTAACTCTCGATATACTGTCGTTATTTGCTTTGGAATCTTCAACAATAAATAAAAGATATACGTGCATAAAGATGTAGGAGATTACGGTTCGACAAAAAAATGTAACGTGAAACAAGCAGACAACTTACTTGACCTGTAATTTTAAGTTGTGAAGTGGTGTTGAGGGTGCCATTGTACGTTTCCCATATCAGACAACCAAGTCCCCACATGTCAACTGAACTATTTTTTTTATTTATTTATTAGTTTTATATTACAAATATTAAATTCAAATGTTTGTAAAGTACTACTATATCGTATCGTTTCAATTGTACCTCTACTACATTTACCATTACATTTGATGCTTTCCAGCAAGAGACACAATGGCTGCATTCAGCAGAAAAAGCAGCTTTGCAACTGTTGTAAAATTCTTTAATATGATTGGTTTTGCCCTTAGTTCCTCATTGGATCTAAATGTATCAATCATATTCAAGAATTTTACAACAGTTGCAAAGCTGCTTTCTCTACTGAATGCAGCCATTGTAACATAGTAATTTCATCTTTGTTTAACATTGACAAACAACGAAAACGTAATGATTCACTGTGTTACATTGTATCATTTGTATCCTTTGCTGGAAAGCATCTATTGTTAAATTTATATTTGTTAAAATTAATATAATTGTTTACCATTTAGTTGCGGGCTTTGAACTTTCTTTAGCCTCTGGTGGTTGATACACTTGGAAATTAGAAGGTAAGAAATTGTATGGCATGTCCACAGCTGTCATGTATTCAACCCCACCGAGTTTCCATTCGCCGCTCTCTTCGTTAACGAACACTGTCCACAGATTGACATTATTATGCCGTAAATTCCCGTCGTTATTTAAGAAGTTAAGTGCCCTCTGCCATCAAATCGAAGTAACATGTATTATAGATCTTTTTTGTGTGTTGCTTAGAATTCTTTGACGTGATCTATGATGTTTCATTCATACATACTGTGATTTGAAATATGCCCCAGGAGTAGTACAATTCCTTCTTAGACTCATTTTGCGAATTGCTTTTTTGCGTCAACCGGTTAAACAACGGTTCCACATGTTCTGTGGCTAAGTAAACCATTTTGTCAGTCTGAAGTAATGAAACACAAATTACATTTTTACATAAAGAGTATACCACTACCATAAGCCAATACAATTCATACCTCAAGACTATCAAGATACGCAAGTATGCTTGGATGTCTAAGTGTCTTGAGTCTTTTTACAGCTGAACGGGCAATATCCAGTTGCTGTTCTCCACCATTTTTCACGTCAAAGACAAAAACTGAAACATCCTCACCTGTTGTGGTGCCCTGTGGAAGATCTTGTGAGGATAAAAATAATATTTTCACCAATAAATTAGAAGAGAGATAAACTCTTGCCATTAATTAATTTGTCACCTTTCGTAAATTATAAAGTGATAAAATATGACATTGGACGCTTTTCATTTGGTGACACAAGTCCATTCAAATGTTATTCTGGCTTCATCACTTATTGAATGCCAAAAAAGATAGAATGACGTTTGTGTCAACTTATGTCACTAAACAGAAAGCACTCATTATGTTGCATTCAAAGCTAATCTACAATGTGCTCCTTGCTTTCTGTTCCTTGTTTTTTTGCTTCTTTGCAACCGTTTTATTGTATTAAATAATATTATTATTTATAATAATATCATGTTTCTTGTCTCTTTCAAAATTGGTCAACTTTTATCTTAAGCAATAGAAAATAAAGAACATGAGGCCTGTTCTTTTTAGCTGAACTTCTTGTATGATTCAGGGCCTCTATTCTTGAAAAAAAAACGTATACGAAATTCTAGAAAAATACTACAGTATACATAACATATACTGTGGTATTTCTCTAGACTTTCGTATACATTTCTTTTCAAGAAGGGGTCTAGGTTTTTTCTTTTTCTCTCCAATGTAGAGAGAAGAGGAAGAAAGATGACTCGTACAAGAACTTTAACTAAAAAGAACAGACCTATGAATAAGAGGCAAAAAGGCAAGAGATAAAAAAATGGTAAGAAATAAAAAATAGACAACAAAGAGGTATTATAGATTAGGTTTTAAAGTTGATAAACTTTGGAAGAAACAAGAAACACATATTGACAAAATAGTTGCAAAGAGAGAAAAGGATGAGAGGTAAAAAGCAAAAAACAGAAAGCAAAGAGAACATTGTAGATTAGTCTTTAGTGCCTCTCTAGAGTCATTAAATTCTCACATTCAACTGAATTACCTTTCTTTTAGCCCTGTGTATTGTCCAAATGCTTTTGTTATCCAAACCAGAAATAGGCTCCCCGATGTCGTACGGGAAATCCTTGGCAGGATCTCTCGAGAAAAAGGACCACATTGTGGAGCTTATACTTTTATCTACACATACAGCAGACCGCACTCAATCTTCAACGTGACTTATCATTGACACTGACAGCAATGCATCAGAACTGCAAAAATACAAGTCATTGCTTTTTGCGTATTACAAACATGCTAGAAACATGCTAGAAAGATTATTAATTTGTGACGTGGAATCTCTATTATTCAATGAACATGCAATTCCAATGCAATTTAATACAAATCCGAAATGGAGGTTAAGTGACGAATCCAAGGAAAAAAACGAACGAATCCGGCTGTTTTTCGTCTAAGAAATGAGTTTAGAATTGTATCCAAAAAAACCTAAAGAAATTCCACGCAAACAATTAAAAATTAGAAGTCATCGAAACGCTACGTGTTGCATTCGGCACAGTCTGAAATAAATTGGAGCGAGATAGCGGAAGGAAAAATCGATCTGACAGAAGAGAGCGCACTTTGTTCGATCTGTCAAAGAATCAAAAGTCAACAAATGAACGTATTATAATATATTATATACCCGTGCCTATTCGTGAGTGCATGAAAGAATTTTTTCCCTTATTTACTCAGTCTCTGTAATTTTCTCGATTATACCGAAAAGCAGTTACTCTTCGGTTCTCCCCGTTCCCCGAAGTATTGAACAGATTGAGAGAATCGCACCTCAAATTCGCATGACGACACGCGCGATAACGCGCAACACGTCATTTTGACGCAGGTTCAATCCTTACGTTCAGATACGTTTTTTAGCTGCGTTCTGGGTGTTTCCTCCAATTTTATCTATTTTCGCGCTCGAAACGAGTTTTGTCATTGATGTTGGAAATAAGGGGGGGAAAATAGAGAGAGGAAAGAAAAAGACTTTGGTATAAACGGCGAAATATCGATCCTTTTTTGAGACAATTGGTTCCCACCAAGGCTGTGTTCCAAAATTGACTGCCGGTACTGAAAATCTATAGTGCACGTGACGTAAACTGTAGCATTTTCAGTGTCGGCAGTAAATTTGGAATACAGCCCAAATTGATTAATTGGGTCTACAATAGGGCTGCGTTCAGGAATTATGACTAGATAACTTTAGGGTGCATTTTTGCTATAATATACGTAACGTAACCTATAGCTTAGAGTTATCTGAGTGTAATTCTTGAACGCAGCCCAGAAGTAGCGATCGTAGAGTCTTATGCTGGATTCACACTGCATCCGATTTTCGTTGTAAGACGCTCTGCATCCAATCAGAAAACAGGATTCCGATAATACGAAGCAAAATTCATTGTATTAACATAAAGTGAACATATATTTATTTTTTTTACAAATTTTATTGAAATATTATAAGACAGAATAAATAATTCATATTTTAAATTATATATCATATATTATAATGAAAATTGTGTCGGAAGGCATTAAAATGTCAAAATTTTAATAATTGACAAATTTTATTTACAATAAAAACTTAAAACATCAAAAATATATTTCAAAAAATGTTAACATTTCTTATGTTGTCTTTGTTTTGTATTTTTGTCTTATGCTTTATGTTCAAATATTTATAATTTCATATATTGTTATTTTTAAACAACAAAAAGTAAAAAAAATTATTTGATTTCATTAACACAGAAAATCAATTAATGAATTATTAAAAATTGAATATTAAACGTTTTATACATTAAAAATCAATAAAAAAAAAGATTTTTAGTGAGATTAATATATTTTCACATTTGAATCGAGCGCCAAACATGACGTAACTATAGGATAGATTCTGATTGGCTCAAATAATAAAGCTGCGCTCGGACACACCATGGAGTCGATTCTGTATCTTCAAATAGGTCTGTTCGCGTTGTGTACATTTTTTATACTCAGCATCTTCGCTTTCTCTCTTTTCAATACCCGAATATATATTCATCTCGTTTTAAGTGCAAAAACTTTTGGGGATTTCAAGCAACGCGAACAAACCTAAGGTAAAAATGACAAAAGTGAGCAAATATACTAGGTGTTGACCAATGAAATTATCAGTATTTTAGTAAATTTGCTCACTTTTATAATTTTCACCTCGTTTCAAGATACAGAATCGATCCCCATGTAATCCTTCCATCATGCAATTGGCCACATTGGCCACAGTGACCAACAGTGTTACCACATCGAGGGATTTACTCCTAGATTCGGGGATTTCGAAGATTATCGGGGGATAGATTTAAGAAAATTTCGATTTTCTTCAATTTTCTAGGGATTTCATAGAAGGCATGATTCTTTTTAGAATTTTTACGTCGTCCGTCGGAAAAGAGAAAGCAAAGATCATGGCTAAGTTCCGAAATTCACTGTCAGTACTGAAAATCTATAG